TCGACGGATTGCCCGAGGAGGACGCGGCGGAGGCCGTGGCCGGGGCGCTGGCGGCCGAGGGCGACGGGGCGGCCGCGGCCGCGGCCGCGGCGGCGCCCGAGGCCGCGGACGAGTACTCGGACGTCCGCGAGCGCATCCGCGCGCGCGCGGAGCAGCTGAACCTCCAGGGCTCGGCGGCGCCCCAGGAGGTCTTCGACGTCAAGCCCGAGCGGAACGTGCTCCAGCAGATGGCCGACGTCGCCATCGAGGAGACGCAGATGGAAAAAGACGCGGAGACGTACAGCGACGGGCTCTCGATCGTCGAGGGCCTCCAGAAGGAGTGGGCCGAGGTCATCTGGCCCGGCCCGCAGGAGGTCGTCAACACGCTCGGCCTCGTCGTCGGCATCACCGCCTTCATGGTCGCCTACGTCCTCGGCGTGGACAAATTCCTCCAGACGGTCCTCGACCCGCTGTTCCACTACGCCGGCAATCAATAGAGTCCTCCGCCTCGTCGGTGCGTCGGGGGGCTGCGGTCGCTTCGGGCCGGCTTGGAAGCGGCGGGAGGCGCTCGCTGCGAGCGTATGTTGAAGTGTGCAACACACGATTTTGCGACCCGCCGGGGTATTTACTCTGAGTTTGTCCCCTGTTGAAGCGGCATCGTGCAGCAAAAGCCGTCGTTGCGTGGGCTTTTCTTCGCGGCGCTCGCGATGGCGTCTGAGCGTTATGCGCCGGGATCGGCACTGGGGAGGTGCCTCCGCAGCGTCGGGGATGCCTTCGTTCGGGCGTCGACCTGCTATGACGCGGAACCTTAGTGGGTTCCGACGGCAGCGACCATGCGGAAGCCGTCGAACCCGACGTCGGTCGGCTCGAGCTCCCGAGGGGCAGCCCGAGGCGCCTGGGGTGGGGCCACGCCGCCCGAGATGGTCTGGACCCGACCCCATGGTGGTATGGAACGGATCGAGACCATCTCGGGCGGCAGGGGCAGCCCCAGACACCCCACGGCCACCGTCGGGACGAAACGCCGTCAGAGCTCGGCCCGGTGGACTCGACGATTTCGGGCTCCCCCGAGGAACCCGCCGCCTTGGATGCGACGGGATCGATGACGAACGATCTCCGCTGCTGCGATGGCTCGAAAACTATCTTAGAGAGGTCGCGAGGGGGCAGCGCGTCCCTTCCCACCCACTCTACCTCCCCGATCCAGTCGCCACGCGGTCGTATGAGCGTCGCGTCTTCGCACGTGCCTCACCCTCGTCCTTGCGGCCCTCGCAGCTGCTGGGATCGTTGCACAATTCTGCATATTCGCGGAGCGGCGGGCCCTCAAAGACGGCCATCCCATCGCAGCGCGCCGCCAAAACGCTGCACAATGTCGATCATGAAGCACGGAGGACATTCGATCGACTTTACCCCGGCTCGCGAGCCTGCCACAATGGTTACAAAGTTGTGACGAGCGATGCGCGCGACGCCGGCGGCGTGAACGCAGCGGAGCGATGCGCCTCGGCACGACGCCGACGTGGGCCGCGATCTGCGTCGCCGCCGGCTTCTTGCTCACGGTGTTCCACACGCAGGTGCACGACGAGCTCGTGCTGCTGACGCCGGGCCTCGCGCACGCGTCGCACCGCTTCGGCGGCCTGCGCGCGGCTTTCGGCGCCGCGCCCATGGCCGTGGCGCCGCGCGAGGACCTCGAGGCCTTCGCCGAGCGCAAGAGCTACGCGCGGCGCCTCGACAAGGAGGTCTACCGCGCGTGCGCGACGGAGCCCCGGCCGGCGCCCGCGCGCGCGTGCGCGCCGGCGGCGGGCGCCGTGCGCCTCTTGCAGTATAACGTCTTCCGCATGGTCGAGCGCGGCGCGTCGGAGCTCGTCGGGTCCTGGCTCGACGCGCGCGGCGACGACTACGTCACGCTCAACGAGCTCAACGGCTTCCACAACGAGAGCGAGTTCGCGGCCTGGGCCGGGCGCCACGGCTTCGCCCGGGCCTGCTTCCTGCCGGCGGCGAGCAACTACAACGTGGGCTTCCTCGCGCGCAGCGACGCCACGTGCGCCTGCGTCGCGGCGCGCTTCGACGGCTTCGCGCACGGCGTCCTGCACGCGGCGTGGAAATCAAATATTCAACCCGACTTCAATGTGAGCTTGTTCGAAAGTTTCGACCAAACAACTTCTGCTGTGCTTCGAGAGCTCGACGAGCGCAAACGATTCGTCCCAAAAATTGCCAAATCAATTTCGATTTGACCGAGCTGGAGATTCCTGAAGTTCGGCCCCGACGTCCCGGCTCACCGGTTGATTTCCACACAGGTGCTGCACGCGGCGTGCGGCGACGCGCACTTCTTCGTGACGCACCTCACGCCCTTCGACGTCGCGTCGCGGAGCCGCGAGGCGCGGGCCATCGCCGTCATGGCGCGCGACGCGCTCCGCGGCGCCGGGGACCGCGCGCGCGCCGTCGTCGCGGGCGACCTGAACAGCCCGCCCGTCGCGCGGCCCTACGCCGGCGACCTGCCCGTGGAGCTCCGCGCGCTGGCGAACGAGGGCCTGCGCGCGCGGCTCGCGCGCAAGTTCCTCGTGCCCGGCGGCGCGACGCTCGACCCCTACGTCGGGCGCGTCTTTCGGGCCGCGGGGCTCCGCGACGCGTGCGCGACCGACGGCGCGGGCGACGACGCCGCCGACGGCTGCGCGCCGTCGATCCCCACGGACGTCGCCAGCGACAACTCGCACGCGCTGACGACGCGCCTCGACTACGTCTGGCTCGGCGGCGCCTGGCGGGGCTGCGGCTGCGGCGCGCCGTGCGCGGCGACGGTGCGGAACCCGATCACGGACGTGCTCAGCGACCACTACCCCGTCGAGGTCGTCGTTTCCGCGCGGCCCGAGCCGCCCGCCGTCGACGCGCCGCTCCCGGAGCCCTACGCGCCGTCCGAGACCGCGAAGAGGAAGCCGCCGCGGAAGGCGCCGCCGCCGGGGCAGCAGCGGCCGCCGCCGGCCGCGCGCGGACGCCGCCGCCCGCTCGCGGCGGCGGCCGCGCGCGCGCTCGTCGCGAACGACGGCTTCAGCGCGCGCGAGCGGGACCTCGCCTGCGGCTGGGCGCGGTCCTTCGAGGCCAAGTACGAGCCCGCGCGGCGCCGCGCGGCGCGGGCGCGCGCGGACCACGGCGCGGAGTGGGCGGCGAAGGCGCGCGTCGTCGACGCCGAGCCCGGCCGCGGCGCCTGGGTCCCGACGCGCGCGAAGCTCGGCGACGGCTGCCACGCCGCCTGCGGCGCGCGGCGGCCGGCGGGCAACGGGTCCATCGCCGGCGGCTTCTGCGTGCGGCCGCGGCTCGCCGACGGGAGCTTGGCGACGTGCGCGCGGCTCACGGCGGCGTTCGGGTGCCCCTTCGGCTGCGCGGCCCGCGACGGCAAGGAGCTGCCGGCCTTCGTGGCCGAGGCCGACGCCGACGACGCCGGCCGCTGCCTCCTGCCCGCGGCGGACGTGCGCCGCCGGCGGACCCCCCCGCTCCCCGCCGGGCGGGCCCTCGCGGACATCGTCGGCGGACGGCGGCCGGCGAACGCGTCCGCGCTCGCCCGGCGCCAAAAGGACTTCCCGGCTTCCGCGGCGCGCCGCGGCCGCGCGCTCCTCGCGAAGCAGCGCGTCGCCGTGGGCCGCGTCGCCGGGTCGCGCCGGGTCGTGTCGTCGAAGCGCGTCCGGAAACCCGCCGGGCTGCCGCCCGTCGACCTGCGGGACCACCTCGAGGACGACCAGTTCTCGCCGCCGCCGCCGCCGAAGAAGAAGCCGCGGCGCAAGGCGACGGCGCTCCAGCCCCCGTTCCTCGCGAAGCACGGCTTCGTGCAGCACCCGAAGAAGCAGGCCGACGCCTGCACGCCGGCGCACCCGGTCACGGCGCGGCTCTGCCCCTGCGCGGCCGCGGCGACGTTCGTCGGCGCGCGCGGCGCGAGCTGCGCGGCGACGTGCGGCGCCGCGGGCCTCGCCTGCCACGACGACGTGCTGCGCGCCTTCAACGACGTCGCCTGCCTGCCCAACTCGGGCCAGGCGCCGGCGTCCGTCAGCGGGGCCGCGCGGTTCCACGTGCTCCCGCTGCCCACGGAGCCCTTCACGGAGACGAGCCCGGCGCGCGCGCTCCCGGCCCTCGTCCCGGGCACGCCCAAGCACCCCGACGCGCCGGACGGCGAGCACACGTGCCTCGCGGCGTCCAACGACGCGCGGCCCTACCTGTCCTGCGCCGCGGCGAGCCCGGACCTCGAGCGGCTCTGCCCCTGCTCGCCGACGGGCGACGACGCCGGCGAGGGCGACGACGGCGGGTACTTTTAACGGGCCTTATTTCGACGCCTGCTTCTTGAGGTAGGCGGCGTACTGGAGCAGCGGCGCGTGGACCGCGTCGTGGTCGGGGAGCGCGGCCATGGCGTCGAGCCACGCGACCGTGTTCGGGAACGGCGCGAAGTCCCAGGTCTTCTCGCCGGTCGCCGGGTTCGCGTCGAAGCCGACGCGGAGCTGGCCGAGCTCCGTGTAGAGGAAGTAGTCCGCGAGCGTCGGCGCGTCGGCCGCCGCGAAGCCGCCGTGATTGTCGAGGACGCGCTCGAACGCGCCGAGCTTCGCGGACAGCTGCGACGCCAGCTTCTCCTTGCCCCGGTCGCTGATGGTGATGTCGGCCCGCAGCGACGACGCGATGAGGCCCGTCGCGTTGGGGCGCACCTCCGTGTTGCTCCACGACAGCGCCTCGTGCACCTTGGCGCGCGCCCGGTGGTCCCGCGGATAGAGCGCGTCCCAGCCGTGGCTGTCCGCGAGGTAGGTCGCGATGGCCACGCCCTCCGCGAGCAGGAAGTCGCCCTCCTGGAGCAGCGGGATCTTGCCGCGAGGATTGAGGGCCAGGTACTCGTCGCTGCGCGTCTGCGCCGGCGGAATGGTCTTCCGGAGCTCGATGGGCAGCTTCTCCGACGCGCAGAGCCACAAGACGGCGCGCACGGGCTGCGACACGGGGACGCCGTAGAGGAGCCGGCTCGCGGCCATCGTTCAACGGGGCTGCGACGGCGCGCGACGACGACTAGTCGTGGGGCTGGATGGTCCAGAAGCTGGTGCACCTTAGAGTAAAATAAAATGGATGCATCCTTTGCCGCAAGGCATGCGTGCTCGAGGCTGCGAAGCCTCTAGCGCGGCAGTTCTCCTCGCGAACTGCGCGTTCCTCCTCAAGCTGCTCCTGGCCTCGCCCGCGCTCCTAGCCTGGCTGCTGCTGCGCTGCTGGTCCTGGCTCACGAACGCCCTCAGCAAGGCCACCGCGTCGCTCGCGCGGCCGGTCATGGCCGGCCTCGCCGAGGCCTTTGACGCCGTGCTGTCGGAGGCGCCCGACGGCGCGCGCTGGGGCGGGCGGCCGGCGCGACCGAGCGCGATGCAGCGGGCCTACGACGACGCGTCGGCGCGGATGGCCGCGCGGCTTCGCGCCTACGAGTCGGCCGAGGCGCCCCGGGCGCGGACGCCGTCGCGCACGATGATGTCGAGCCCGTCGGCCGCGCGCCTCGACGCGGCGGCGGCGGACGCGTCGCTCGATCGGACGCGCGCGCTCATGGGCACGTCCTGGACGAACCGCCTCGCGGCGCTCCTGCCGCCCGCGTGGACCGTCGGCTCCTGCTGCGGCGACGACGACGGCCGCGCGGCGGCGCGGTTCGAGCCGGCGCACCTCGACCGCGTGGAGTGCACGCGGCTCCGCGCCGCGACGCTCCGCTACCAGCCCGGGTCCGGGCGCCTCTTCGGCCTGGAGCTCGAGACGCGGAACGACGACGACGGCTTGGTGATCCACGCGCACGGCGTGGGCGCCTCCTCCCGGCCGGCGACGGACCCGAACGACGGCGAGCTCTCGGAGCGCGTCAAGGTGTCGCTCTGGGGCGGCGACGCGGACGAGGACTGGATCTCGGAGCGCGCGGAGCTGGCGAGGGGCGAGCACGTCGTCGCCGTCCACGGCTTCGCCCAGCGCACGAAGCTCTACGGGCTCGTGCTCGAGCTCAACAGCGGGCGCATGGTCGGGCGGCCCTACGTCGACGGGTCCACGCGCATGTCGCCCGTGCGGCTCGAGGCGCCGCGGGGCCTCGCGGTGCGCGGCTTCTACGGCCGCGTCGCGGCGGACCACGTCTCGGGCCTCGGCATCCTCTGCGGGCCGCCGGCGCCCGTCGCCTGGTCGCCCGCGCGGCCGGAGCGGTTCTCCGACCTCGCGACCGCGCGCGCCGCGGCCGTGCTCGCGCTCGCGGAGGACCCGCGGAACCTGCGCTTCGGGCGCCTCCCGACCGCGCTCGTCGAGGCGATCCTCGCCTGCGCGCTGGCGCTTTTTGACGACTAATCATCGAGCCCCCCGAACCCGTCGAGGTCGTCGTCGCTCGAGTCGGCGGCGGCGAGCGCGGGGCCGTCCGCCGCCGGTTTGTCGCCCGCCGCGGCGTAGGCCTGGCGCCAGGGGATGGGCTCCGTGGCGAGGCCCGCGACGCTTCGGGCCCGCTGCGCGCCGAGGCAGTCGACGAGGGTCCGCATGACGCGCTGCGCGTCCGGCAGGAGGCGCCGGTCCGCGGGCTCGGGCCCCTGTTCGTGCCAGTCGCGGACGTGGCCGAGTACGGCCGCGAGGCCCGGCCGCGAGCAGAACTGGGAGCACACCGACAGCGTGTCGCCGCCCGAGTGGAGTGTCTGGTGCCAGAGGTCGCCGGGGAAGACGAGCAGGTCGCCCGCGCGCGTGTCGACGTCGTAGTCCGACGCCGCGCGCGGCCCCGCGTAGAGGTCGACGTCGCTCTGGAAGCTGCCCGCGACGCCCCTGCCCTCGAGGCCCCGGACGTCGTCGAAGACGGCCTGGCGCGTGCCGCGATACTCCGCGTCGCGCGCGGCCGTGCGCTCCGAGAAGCGCCACTTCTTCGCTCCCCGGCACAGGAGGCTCCAGCCGACCCAGCCGTAGTGGTCCGCGTGGAGGTCGCAGGACGCGTGGTCGCCGCCGATGACGAGGCACATAGGCGGCGGCTTCAGGAGCGGCGGGAACGCGTCGCTCTCGAAGAGGTTGCCGCCGCCGGGCGCCCACGCGGGTCGGCACTCGTCGAGCGGCAGGGCCCGGAGCACGCGGACGAGCAGGTCCGGCTCGCGCTGGAGCGCGAGCTCGCACATGGTCACGCCGCTGTGCCCCGCCGTGGACGCGGGCACGCGGTCCTCGAGGATCTCCCGGTACGTCGCGACGACGGGCTTGCCCTTCTTCGACGCGCCGTTCGCGCGCGTACGCGTGACGTGCTGCACGTCCCTCGCGGGCCGCCTCAGGAGGCGCCCCCGCAGCGTCGCCGTCCAGGCGTCCAGGTCGAAGCCGTGCTTCGCCGTCGCGTGCGACACGACGACCTACCAAGTGCGACGGGGTCGGATTTCTTCACAACTTCAGGCGAAATTCACGAGAAAACAAACTCCTGTCGCTCGACGCTGACGACGACGGGCGCGCGGAGCGCGTGGACGCCGAGCTCGACGAGGCGCCAGAGATGCGTCGCGTCGTGGTCCCGCGCGTCGAGGCGGAGGTAGGGCCGGTTCACGGCCGGGCCGCCGCGCACGGCGACGGCGTCCGTCGCGACGTCGCCCACGAGCGTCGACCCGTCGATGGCGGCGCCGGTCCAGTCGACGAGGCTGGCGTCGGCGAGGCAGCCGCCTTTCTTGCTGAGCATCTTCGTGAGTTTGCTCACGGGCTTGTCCCGCGGCGCGCAGAGCGCCAGGGCCTTGGGCGCGCCATGCTCGTCGACGTAGTGCGCGACGAGTTTTCTTGCTGGCGCGGGCATCGGTGGCGGGTTTCAAGGGCTGCTACTCGTAAGAGGCCATCGTAATGCGGCTCAATATTGCTGAATGCGGCTGAAGATGAAGCACACGATCGATGTGCCACGGGCTCGGCGTAAATGCGCGCCCTCACAGCCGATCAAAGCTGCAGCCTTGATTGAGGTCCGCAAGGCATGATGGCTCAAGACAATGCGCTTGCCGGTGCCGCCGACGGCAGCGGAGACGTGCAACGTCGCGCCTCGCCGGAAGAGGACGCCATGCTGGTGGCGGCGCAGGACGACGACGCGGCGCCGGCGCTCGGCGAGGATCTCGACGCCGCGTTGCCGGAGGCGCTCCTTTCCTGGTACCGCGCCGAGGACGTCGACGTCGCGACGCTCGCGGTCCTGCGGCCGTCGGCGCGCTACGCGCGCGTGCCGCTCCACCGTTCCGACGATGCACTGGCCATCGCCGCGCGGCTCGCGGCGGAGGTCCGCGCGGACGTCCGGGCCGTGCCCTGGCTCGCGCCGCTCACCTTTCTGCGGCTGCCGGCGTACTGCAAGTTGAAGGGCGCGGCGACGTACGAGGCCGGCGACGTCGTCGGCATGGACGCGGCGTCCGGCGCCGCCGTGCTCGCGCTCGGCGCCGGGGCCGGCGACCGTGTGCTGGACCTGTGCTGCTGCCCGGGCGGCAAGCTCTGCGCCCTCGCGGACGTGGTCGGCGCGGCCGGCGCGGTCGACGGCGTCGACGTCAGCGCGAAGCGCCTCGCCGTCGCGCGGAAGCTCGTCGACGCCTACCTCGCCGGAGCGCCCGGCCGCCCGCGCGTGCGCCTGCTCCGGGCCGACGGCGCGACCTTCGCCGGCGACGGCGCCGTCGTCTTCGACTCGCGCGCCGCGGACGGCGAGGACGAGCGCAAGGGCCGGAAGCGCATGAACCGGTCCGCGCGCGCGCGCGAGGCGAAGCGGCTCAGGGCCCTCGCGGACGCGGAGGATGTCGCCGACGGCGTCTACGACCGGGTTCTCGTCGACGCGGACTGCTCGACGGACGGCTCCTTCGCGCACGTGGCGAAGATGGTCCGCCGGGGCCAGGTCGCGGACCTCTTCGCGCCGGAGCGCACGCGGCGGCTCGTGTCGCTCCAGGGCGCGCTCCTCGCCAACGGCTTCGCGCGGCTCCGGCCCGGCGGCGTCCTCGTCTACAGCACGTGCTCCCTCGCGCGGGCCCAGAACGAGGGCGTCGTCGCGGCGTTCCTCGCGGCGGCGCCGGACGCGGCCCTCGAGGCCGTGCCCGTCGTCGGCGCGGGCTCGCCCGGCGGCCTGCCGCACACGGTCCGCTTCACGGCCGCGAAGGACGACACGAGCGGCCTCTTCGTCGCGCGGATCCGGAAGCGCGCGGCCGCCGCGCGCGGACCGTGCTGCGTGTCCTAACGTTAGGGGAAGCTCCGGTCGTCGGGCGCCTCCGGCGGCGCGTCGGCGGCGGCGTCGCCGCGCGCGAGGAGCCGGAAGTGGTTCGTGCAGAGCCGGTAGAAGAGGCCGCCGATGACCGCGAACTGCGCGAGGATGATCGACCAGAGCAGAAACCGCTTCAGCGCGCGCGCGCGGCCCATCTTCGCGATCTCCGCGTGGGTCTGCTTCGTGAAGCCGCTCACCTCGCGGGCCCGCTTCTGCGTGTGCTGGAACTGCTCGCGCTGCTGGCCCAGGGCGAGGAGCGTCTCCTCGCCGAGCTCCTGCGTCTCCTTGAGCGTGCGGCTCGTGTCGCCGTAGAGCGCCATGGGCTGGTCCTCCTTCGCGAACATCCTGGAGAGGCGACGACGCTCTTCGTGTGTGCGCGGAGTCGGTCGACGGGAGCTCCGATTCACATCATCGGCAGCCCTCAAAAAGCCGATCTTTCACGCTTTCATTGCCGTGAGAAACGTTCGAAGTCTGGACTCTGGGCTGCCCCCTCGACGCGCCGTGCTCTCGGCGGCCGTGCTCAACCCGTTCCTGTCGCCGGAGCTCCTCGAGGCGTCGCTCCTGCTCGCGCCGACCGTCGGGCTGCGTGCTCATGGGCCTCCCCCGGACGAATGCCCACCGGGGTGAGTACGGCCCCGGCCCCTGGAGCACGTTCACGCGGGGCCTGCGGCGCGCGCCGGGGCGGAAGCCGCGGTCGCGGTCGCCGCGGGCCGCCGGGCCGGCCCGGGCGAGGCAGCCCGAGAAGCTCGAGCTCATGCGGCAGGCCTACGTGGACGTGCCGAAGAAGACGCTCGACGCCATCGACGGCAAGGCCTCGGACGCGCGGCGGCCCGGGTGGACGGACTCGGTCGTCGTGCCGCGGCCGAAGCCGGCGCCGCGGCGGCAGCTCGCCGCGGCGCCCGACCGGCCCGCCCGGCGGCGGCCCGGGTCGGCGCCGAGCCGCGCGCACCGCGTGGCCCGCGAGCCGAGCGGCGGCGGCGCCAGCGCGGCGGCGCCCGAGCGGCGCGAGGAGCCCGTCGAGCCCGCGGAGGCGTTCGTCGCGCCCGGGCGGAAGCAGCGGCGGCCGCGGAGCGCGAGCCCGCGGAAGCGCGCGTGGAACGCGCGCTTCGCCTTCGACGTCGAGGGCTGGAAGACGCTGTCGAAGCGGCGCCTCCTCGTCGAGAAGCGGAACCGCGGCGGCCCGCGCCGCCGAGCCCGCGCCCGCGGTCCGCGGAGCCCGCGAAGCGCCACGCGCCGAGCCCGCCGGCGCGGCCCAAGTCCGCGGGCGCGCGGCGCGGGCCGGACTACCGCCCCCACTGCCAGTTCATGCGCCCCGCGTCCGCGTCGCCGCGCGTCCGGGACCCGGCGCCGGCGCCGCCGGAGACGTCCGCGGCCGCGCGGCCGCCGCCGCGCCGCGGCCGCGCGAGCCAGCTGCTGGAGCGCCTCCACGCGGCGGCGTCGTCGGCGCGGGGGCTCGTCGCCGACCACCTCAAGGCCCGCGACTTCGTCCGCGAGAACGCGCGCCACGCCGCCGTCCGCCCCGACCTCGACGCGCCGCACCGCATCGACGACGCCATGCCCCGCGAGACCGTGCTGCGGGGGCTCGGGCACGACGACGACTTCGTCGCGAGGAACGCGAGGCACGACGCCGCGCGGCCCGACCTGCGCGCGCCCGCGAAGGTCGACGACCGTTTGGACGCCGCCGCGGATCGCCGCGTCGCGACGCTGCTGCGCATCATCGAGCATTCCCTGGCCCACGCGACGGACTTCGTGGCGGACCACACGGCCGCCTACCCGGACGAGCCGGACCTGCGCCAGGCGCCGCGCGTCGACGACCACCTCGGCGACGCGTTCCTCGCGGTCGTGGCCGCGAACCTCGCGAAGGCGCGCGACTTCGTCGAGGAGCATCGGACACTGGGCCCGGAGCCGGACCTGGACCAGGCGCCGCGCGTCGACGACCACCTCGAGGCGAAGACGGACGCGCTCGTCGTCGCGCTCCTGGAGATGATGCGCGACATGCACGCGTACAGCCGCGACTTCGTGAGCGAGAACAGGGCGCCGGGGGCCTTCCTCAAGTCCTGCGAGAAGATCCTCGAGACGAACCTGAACGCCTGCGACATCCTGCTCCTCGACGACGCCCGCGGCGACGACGACCACCACGAGACGGTCCGCGGCCACCACGCGAGCATCCGCGCGCACCACGAGAAGTTCGGCCCGCCGCCGCAGGCGCTGTCGGGCTTCTTCGTGTAGGAACCTAAGAGTAGGCGGCTCTGAGGCCCGCAGCGAGGCCTCATGTGAAGGTCGCGCGCGTTCAATTCTATCTACCCACTGGGCAAGGCCCCTGGACCACGCGCTTATCTACAGTGTCTCACCTTCAATTCGCGAGCCCGGTCGTCGAAGACGCCGCGCCCTCACGGCGCCGCGAGCTGCGGCGGCGCGGGTTCGGTGCTCTGGACGGGGAACCCCTGCGTGTCGTCGAGCTGGACGAGGTTGCAGAGCGTCTTCCAGTGCTCCTTCTCGTCGTTGCGGATGTTGACGAAGACGTCGTAGAGCGACTCGAGCGGCGGCCGGGATCTCGACGTGAACTCGCCGCCGTCGGGCTCCTTGACGGTGCAGAACTGGTCGAAGAGGAAGGGGTCGTCGCGCTCGTAGTACTTGCGCGCGATGTCGGGCACGGGCATGCCCTTGAGCTTGGGCCCGTGGTCCCTGAGGAAGCCGTCGTACGTGTTGAACGCGTGGTCCTCGATGAGCTCCGACAGGTGGTACGCCGCGGGCTCCGAGAACGAGTAGACGACGGTCACGTACCAGTAGTAGAAGAAGGCCATGGTCTGCGCCAGGGTCCGGTCCACGGCCGACGAGTTGCCGCCCAGCGACTCCATGATCAGCAGGTGGTGCAGCTCGTTGTCCGCCTCGGCGTAGTGCGTCCGCATGCGCTCCGAGTCGCCCGGGTCGCGATCGCCGAAGGTCTCGCGCAGGTGCATCACCGACAGGTACGCGAAATAGGGCACGCGCGCGACGGTCTCCAGCACGTAGAAGCGCGCGAAATCCCGCTCCGATCCCGTGACCGGGTACAGCAGGCAGATGACGTCGTACACCGTGTCGATGACGACCTTGTTGAACCCGAAGATGCGCTCGTCCATGGTCGCGCGCTCGATCTCCGCCGGCGCGGCCGCGAGTACCGTGAGCTGGCTCCGACCGGGGCTCCGCTGGACGTGCACCGATGCGCCGGGCGCCATCAGCGCCGTGGGCGCGCGCTGGAAGCCACTGCTTTTGCCCGCGACGAGCGACACCGCGAGAATTTTCAGCGTCCACATGGTTGTTGCGACGATGCGTGGAAGGTGTTGCGCGCGAAACAGGGCGCGGTGTTCGGGATCCTTATTAACAAGGCGACGTCGAGCGCGGCCCACGAATTCGAGCCACAAACAGAATGACGACCTCATCTTCGTGCGTCATGATGTTGAAGTTCAACTTGAACGATGGGCTCGCCGCATCCTAGAGCCTTCCTAGGCCTTCCCGTAGCACAGCGATCCCGACACCCCATCCTACGCCCCCGCCCCCTTCGCCCGCCGTTCCTCGCGGCGCTTCCGCGCGGCGCCGCGCACGTTCCGCGGGGGCTCGCGCCGCCGGCCGCTCGCGGGGACTTTCGCGGGGGCTCCCGCCGAGCGCGCGAACGCGAGCCCCGCGGCCGTGACCTTGCCGAAGAAGCGGCCGCGCGTCGCGTCGTGGAGGACGACCTCGGGCGCCCAGTACATCGTCGGCACGGCGGCCTGGAGCGGCGCGTGGATCTCTCGCGCGCGCGACAGGAACGCGGCCCAGAAGCTCAGCGTGCTCTGCGCGACCACGAGGCGCTCCGCCGCGGCGAGGTAGCGGAAGTCGGCGACGAGGCCCGCGGCCGCGTCGCCCGGCGGCGCCTCGACCTTGGTCGCCGCCGCGTAGGCGCCGAGCAGGTCCCTCACGACGCCCGGCCGCGCCGCGTCGCAGGCGCTGACGACGCGGATCGCGCCCGGCTCGCGCGCGAGGAGCTCGTCGAGGATGGGCGCGTAGTACGACAGGTCGTAGTAGGCGTAGTGGTGGTGCGGCGCGTCGCAGAGGCGCACGTGGACGACGATGTCCGACGGCGCCGGCCCGTGAACCGGCGGCGTCGCGTTCAAATCCGCGCGGAGCGCGTCGCGCGACCCGCGGAACAGCGCGTCGTCGTGGAAGTAGCCGATGGT